GAAAACTACCAACAACAAATGCTAGAGAGGCTGTGGGGGAAAAAGGAACTCTTCTGCATTGTTGGTGGGAGTGTAGACTGGTGACTCACTGTGGAGGTCAGTCTAGAGATTCCTCAAAAAGCTGGGATTGGAAGTCCCATTTGACCCAGCTATTCCACTGCTAGGCATTTTCCCAGAAGAACTGAAAACATCCTACCACAGTGATATATGCGCACCCATGTTTATAGCAGCACAATTTGTAATAGCCAGATCTTGGAAACAACCTAAGTGTCCATCAACTGAGGAATGGATTTTAAAAAGCTGTCGTATTTTTATACAATGGGGTACTATTCAACTATAAAGAATGATCACATTGAGATATTTATAAATAAATGGACTCAACTTGAGACCATATTTATAAGCGAAATAAATCAAACTCGCATGTATAAATACTGTATATTCTCCCTAGTGTAAGAAATGATAAGAGTACGTAAGATTTTATGGTAATCATTATTTCCCATTACATTGTTTTGAAGCCTTATAATGTTTTCATTCATTAGTTGGAATAGTTTTATTCTGTTTTTCTTTGATTTTATTATGTGTGATGGTATGAACAGCTATTTTGAAGAAAACAAGACATTATGGCAGCCACTACTGATTTAATATCATCTTGCTTTGAAATCCTACCATGCTTTTGTTCTTCTGTTTACATTGGTCCTATCATGTTGTGTCTTATTGAATTTTAATATGTGTGATAGTATAAACAAATTTTTATGGAAAATGAGATAATATAGTAGCCATTGTTCATTTTCTATTATTTGGTTCTGAATGCCCTAAAATACTTTCATTCTCTTGAATGGTTTTATACTATTTTGTTATGTTTGATACTGTCGTATGTGAAGGTATGCTCAACTATTTCAAAGAAAGAGACATTATGGTAACGATACGTAATAAACAATAATACATAATAAAGCTAGGTGGTGCTTAAGGACTCAGGGGTCCCATGTATGTATCTGAATGAAAGCACTTTCACAAGCATGCAAGACTGAGAAGTAACGTTTTACAGATACTGAGAACTGCTTTGTAGGATGCCTTAAGAGAAGACCATATTTCTCAACCTACATTGATTGCCTTTTTCTGAAAGTGGGTCAGTCAATACAAAGTAGTAGGCTACCTTACTGAAGATACGAAAAGACATAAATGGAGACAGAACACCTGGGTTTGCAAATATGTTTCCTTGTTCTCCCCATTTGCAAAACACAGCTGGGTTGATGAGAAGTCTAACAGACCACAGGGCTGCTGCTTCGAAAATCATGCAGGGAAATGGAGCCTGTACCATGTAGTTGGCCTTTACTGTTTGCTGATTGCTCTCAATGCCAGTTTCAACTCGCAGATTTTTAGTTTCAGGTTTTGAGATGAAGAAGAAGAGTCTTTGGAGATATTCAAAATTTTTTGAAGTCAAATAGCTCATTATAAAGTATACGATATCCAGAATCGAGTTGTTTTTGCATTAGGAGAGACACTCTGAGTAGCTTGTCCAAGTTTCTGTCAAAAGAAGTCTCTTCTCTCTACTTATATGAATTTTACCCATCCAAAAAGACATGAGCAAGTCCAACAAATGTAGTTCCTAAAAAGAAGAATATTATGTTTCCAATTTTAAGATGTATTCGTTGTGGTCTCTAGATCAGTGTCTTACAAAGAACCGGCATTCAAGAAATGAGTTGACTGATTTCTTTAAATGTATGCAAATCTAAAATTTGCAACATAGTTTGGCAAGTAACAATTTTGCCTATATTACCTTATTAGGATTATTGTAAAAATATCATCATGCATCTTAATGTTTACTTTCACGAAATGCCTGAAAAAGCCATGGGAACAAATTTAAACTTTGATGTGAGCTTTGGGAGCAGGCTCAGCTGTGAAGAAGCGAGTCGAGTGAGTTTCTCTGTAGGCTGCTTACATTTCTGAAATTATTTGCAAGGATATATTGCAGAAATTGTAACTGAACTTTTCAAATATTTATCACCACAGTTAGAACTTTCATTACAATATCTTTTGAAGGAATTGTGTTCATAATGGCCTTTTTAAAAGCTGCTAATCCAGGCTTATAAAGCAATGCTATAATGTCCTCCCATCAACAATATTAAAAGCATTCATCTCTGGGAAAATGTTATAAATAAACTCCACTGCAATAGTAATGCAAATAGTTAGGTAAACGTACAAAATGATGTTGTATTACACATATACCAAAGAGTTAGAAATTCTCCACAATTAGGTTTTGAATTTTGATGAAAGCACAATACTGGGTCTTGAAACTTAGTGAATCACATGACAATATTTCTTAAAATTCAGCTAAAGAAATGTTGGAGCATATTTCTTTTTTAGGTTTCAACGATCTTACCTATGGTCTATGACCACTGAGACACAGATAAAAAATAACGGACAATGATACTAAATCTATATATATATTTTAATCTCTCCATATTTTTAATGATTTAGACTAGAGTTATGCTGTCCAATATTGTAGTTAGTCACATACAAGGATTTATAAATCTAATTAATTAAGTAAAATTCAATATTTAATTTTTCTGCCACATTAACCACGTTTTAAATGCTCAATAGCCACATGGAACTGGATGTTCCCCTGTTACAAAGTATAGCCATAGAACGTTCTTCTTCCATAGAAGTTCTACAAAGCAATGATGGTGACCTTTACGAGACTATGGATGAATGGGAAATCTCAAATTACATATATATTCATGTTTATAATATAAAATAGCCATCGAAAACACAACCATACTATGTTCATTTTTTTTCCTTCAGTATAGGAATTTGAATTAAATCTACTAATTTTATACAATTTTTCCAAAAAATCTCTATTTTAATGTCATTAAAGTTGTCCCACTGGCATCATAAGACAGATTTTTCTCTCTATTCTTACTGCAAGAACGAATTCCAGAAGATTCCATTTCCTCAAGATAACAAATTATAACCACCATAACCCACTTCGGCTAGAGGGTCCCTTTTGTTTGTGTGCTTTAGACTTCTGTTGTGACAGAGATCTCTTTTAAATCTCTTACACTCCCAGCTGTGCCCAGAGACAGCACACCCTTGCTTGCACCCAGGGACTCCTCTTTCAGACAGCAGCACCGCGGGCCTCAGACGCCATACTTGGGAAGCTCCTAACTGCGATGGAAAACTAACTTCTCCAATATTTGGTTCTTCTTGTTATGTTTACTTTATAAACAAAATAACAACAAAAAGAATAAAAACAATGATACAGAATTTTAAAACAAAATAACAGGAAATTAATGCTAGTTAATATACTTCATATTGTTATCTTTAGAGTAGTTGCTCATATTATAAGATTTAGGCATAAAAAAATGACCAGTCAAACAATGAAAGCACAAATGGTACTTTTGATGAACTAACAGAGATTAGTAATATAGTTATCTGTCTTTATAGAGATATATTCTTTTTCTTTTTTTTCTCCTTCCCTTTATCCTCATTGTTCTTTCAAGCACTTTATTTTCCTTTCATTTTCACAATAATATCTACTGTACACTTTGGATCTTTTTTACTCTTGCAGTTTTTTTACACTAGGGAGGCAATATGATGTTTACACACGCAACTCTGATTTATTTCACTTATGAGTATGGTCTCAAGTTGCACCCATTTACCTATAAAAGCCTCAAGCTATTGAGTTCAGAAGTCTTCATGCCCCTCCAAAGTTCTAGCAATTTCCTTAATCTACCACAATTTATTTCTCAATTCAAAAAGGTACATTTACTAACATTTAAAAAGCTACCAATACAGAAATGCGTTTTGACATGGTTACGTGATAAAGTAGAATGTGCCTGCAGTTAGACACTGAACATGAGGAGTCCCAGAACCTGAATGGAGTCATCTCTACTCTTTTTGCTCAGCAAGGGGGCCACACTCCTGAAGAAAATTGGAAAGCCACAAGGAAGAAAAGTACAAGAAATAACATGAAAAACCCTAGTACCACAGGGCTGTGCCAGTTGCATTTAAATGCAACTCCTGAAAAGTACTCCATCTAGGTCTGAAAGACTAAACTGTAGAGTTTATCCAGAAGGTAAAAAGATTGCAAAATGACCTGAGTACATAGAAACTTTTGAGCATTTCCACGGAAAATATATAAACAAAAATGAAGAATCATTTCTTACTGAAAATAAGTTAATTTTAAAGACAGATAATTCAAATATGACAAAAAATGAAGTATGAATAACAAAACATTTAGTAGAAGTTTCAAATATTTTTGGAAAGGTTCTTCTCCAGAGTAACAAGTTAGTGTTTGGAAACTCAAGTTTCCACATTACATTTTTGTAGTTCTTGAAAATGAATTAAAGCCTTGCAGCTATCTGCACAAATGCACACTAGGTTAGGAGCAAAATAAAACAAAGGAAAGAAAGAACAAAGAAAGGAAACAGTATCGCCAGCTTCCCGACCCCTTCCCAAATATTTGCACCTTGGTAACTACACCTACTTTTTAGATTATTTGCTGACATGAAAAACGTAACTTCATCTCTGCTCTCTGGCTTAGTCCTCAAGCAAACCAGAAGCCAAATAAATTGCCATTAATGTTTACCAATAAAATACCGGTTTTCAAGTAATTTTTCTTCATTTTTAAAATTCAAAAGTGTTTTATTACACTTGAGGAACTACTCCTGGCACTAGGCCTCTCACACACAGTTTGTCAGACACTAATGGGTCTTGGAAAAGTTTGAAACTCTCAATTCATTAGGACTTTGAGTAGTTGTTTTGTTACTGAGAATGAGAATTGATGGAGAGGCTGGGACTAAACACATAATTTTATGAAATATGATGAAAACATGAGAGTTTTGTTATGACGCACATAACAATCAAGAACCTGTTTCCTTTTAGCAAGCTCCTAAAAAGTACCTCCCATATAATTATTAAATAAAAACACTCTCTGATTCCGTACTCAGCTGGCTTTTAAACTCTGAATAAGAGAAGTACACAGTGAGAGAGGTACTTACACGGTTTCCTTGGATACTGGGTGATGCCATTCAGGTCTATGTTTTTATCTGAAAGTGGTGCCCTGCGGAGAAATGAGGCTCGGTGAGTGGCTGTTTACACGTAGTAAATAAATAGGAACTTTGTTTATTTTGCAAAGCATTTTTTTTATTTTGACCCAGATTTCTTTTTCTCTTCACACCCAACCTTCGTAAGCAGCAATAATATGGCAGGACAGGTATTACGCACAAACCCTTTTAACTCCACTTAAGAATCCCTAATTATCAAGCCAGCAGTCCACAGTGCTGTGGAGAAGCACTCTCCCTCAGCCTGCTTTGCATGTCTTCAGGACTATATTTACTTCAGATGCTCTGATGAATACCGCCTGCCTTTCTAGTTTCCTTCAAAAGGAATTTTTCTCCAGCCATCAGCAAGGAAGTGAATCTTAAAAATTCACAGACATGAGGGAAGTCCTTACCTCAACCAATGAGTAGGAGAACCCTAGGCTCGGCTGGCTTCTGAGCACCAGGGTTCCCACAGCCATGAGGTGCCATCTTAGACGTGTCAGGGACATCCTGAATTCCCAGTAGCCAAGAGCTGTGAGCATACAGCTCTGAAACTTGGTCTCTCACAACTACATGCTTTCTAATTTTGGACACATGTAATCCCTCCTATGTGATAAGTTTTAACCTTCTACTACTTCTTCGGATGGCAAAGAACAAATGAGCTACAGCAAAGCAGGGCTACTCACTTGAATGCTTCACCCAGTTTAATAACCTGAACTGAAGTGAGTGTGGGCTATGTTTCCATTAAAAAGTTTCCAGCCACAATTAATTGAACAAAAACTTGTCTTGTTCCAAGATTATTCTTGGAAATGCAATTTTAAAGCCTGTGTGAAATGAGGAAACTTACTTTTTTATACCATATGAAAGCAATTTCTTTTTTTTTTTTTTTTTTGAGGAATGATTTTTGGATAGACTTCCGATTGGATATTTTCCATTGGAACTAGCAGCGTAGGGGCTTGGGGAGGGGGAAGGGAGGAAACTGGTTCTGTGTTCTTTTGCCAGCACTGACAAAGGTCTGGTTGTCAATGATACCTTTACAGCTAAATTTACTCCTGAGTGACACGAGCAGGTGCACGGTGGCCTGCCAGACACTTGTGCGGAGGGATCACACATCTCACGGCTAGACGATCAAGGGGCAAAGCCTCGGTCTTCATAGAAAAGGAGAGCAGGCAGACGCAGCCCAAACTGGGGGGTTTCTCTTCAAAGCCAGCTGGTCTGGCTTTATTCTACAGGAATTTTTTTACCTGTCAGAGTTTGGACAACAAAACCCTCAGCGGGTGCTGACGGGTGCAACTTCCTGGAGAAGCAAGAAAGGCGCTGGTGAGTTTCAATTGCCAAAATATATTTTTTAATCTTTAAAAGTTGGTTTTGTTATCTTGGACGAGGCCCTCCAGAGGTACCTACGCTCACAAAGCTGATGAGACGGTTGGAATCACAGCCAGCTAACTCCACACAGGGCTTGCCTTGCCGGGGACGCGAGGTAGAGCTGTTACTGTTTGACAAGTTTTTTAGATTGTGTCTTTTAATTTGTGAAAGCAATAATTGATATTTTTTAAGCATTGGTCTCTTTGATTACCCTCTTCTGTGTCAGAAAGATGAGTTAATTACACATATGACATTAGACTATGTAAATAGCATTTTAGTCTCTTTTTCATCTAATTCTGTCACAATCTTTTCTGAATAAAATGCTGTTTTTCAATAAAACTCCAAAATATAAATGTGAAATGGTACATGATCTTTTCAAAAATTCCATGTGCTCTTTTAAAAAAGAAAATGTGTGTATGTTCTAGGAATATGATTAGAGGCAATGTAGAATTAGCTTTATTTCAATACATTTGAAAAGCATTTATTATACAGAATATTTAATAATTAAAAGTAACAACATTTTCTCATTACTTTGCAAAGATTTTTTTTACAGGGAATCTTTAGAATAAACAACCATGAGAGTACTAAAGCATGTTTTTACGTCATTGATTTCCAAAATTAGTGCACTTATATATTTGGTATTTTTATTTTATGAATTCAAAAGTTTGGGCAAAAATAATTTTTCAGAACAGGATTTTAATTAATGCAAAAGATGGAAAAATGAGACCACATGTTAGGACACATTTTCAAAAAGTGATTCTATTTCAAGGACTCATTCTTTTAACTATGCTTCACAGCATTTCTCTACAAATTGTTGTATTATAGCAAATTGAAAACATTTATTTAAGCAAGTATAGCAGCTCAAAGCTAGACTATACATAGTAAACATATGAAACCATTTTAACAACAAAATTCCATATTCACAAGCAACATGAACTAATGGATGTAAAAGACACAACACCATACATTGATCAAGAATGCTATAAATTATTATGCATAAAATCAATTTTCTGGGCTGTGGGGGGTAGAACTGGTACTTAAGAAGAAAACAGCTCCTACCAATATAAATTACTAGGACTATGAGGCAATTGTTTTATTCTGATGATCACATAAATAATTTCCAATCTGCACACTTAATACATATTTGTATAAAGGAGAAAAAAATCTGACTTTTGTTAATTACCACTCTATCTAAAACAATTTTTAAATCTAAAATGATTTGAATACATTAGCATAAGTTATAAATATCATATTCTCTTAAAGAGGCCTAAATTATCTTCAAAATCATGAAACATTTTTGGTTTAAAAACTGACCAGAAATAGTTCACCTAACCAAAAAAAAGTATATTTTAAAAACATAGTCTTAATTACAAATATTTTAATGAACTATATTTTTAAAAATTAAATCTAAATCTACTTTTTATTATAAATCACATGTAGAATATACTTAAGTAAAATAAAGTATATTTTGTTATCTATCTATATATATATATATGTAGTGTATAGTTATTCAAAATGGTTTTTAATATGATATTTTGCCCTGTTTGAGCAATCACTTAACTTTTTATCTAGTCCAGTAGTCTCTTAAGGAATTAATATACATTCTATGTACATGATAATTATTCTGGTATGCTAAACATTATAGTCATAAAGAATTAGAGAACTTGCTTTTAGAGATGATGAATAATTATGGCAAAATTGAACATAGCATACACCTCTAGGTCAACATCAGAATTATACTGTTGAATTTTCCTGTGCATCAGTATTGACTGTAATTATCAGATTTTGTAACACTGAGTATAATAAATACAAAAGCTTTTGCCAAATTATTGTTTATAGCTGTCAATTTTAAAATATAACAAAATCTATTAGAAACATTGTTAAACATGACCCCAACATCCAAAATAACTAAAATTTTAATTGTGCCATGAATTGTTGACATAACCTAAAATTCCATAATTTTCTTCGAGTTACGAGAATTCATAAATCTTAGTTTACCAAGCTACATGCCTATCCTTCAAAATAGTCTTCAAAAACAGTGACACCAACTCCCCTCAATGTGTAAGAATGGCTTCTTTTATTAAATCTTAAGTACAGCTTGTGACTTAAGATTTTCACCTTAAAATGTATACATATAAAGCATTATTTTGTCATACAGTTTCTGTCTTAAAGATAGTTCATTTATAGTGCACTAAATTAATCATTCTTCTGTTTCATAAAGGCACTTGAAAAGCATTTTCTTTACTTCATATATCAATAGAGAAAATTTTAATTCTTCCAGCAATTATTTTGACTAAATTATACTGCGACCATTCATTTATTTAATTTCAGCACAACAGAGTTCCCAGCTAAAATGGTTTACTTATAAGTATTTAAAGAAACAAAAATGTTTTGGCAGCTTTATATGTATCTCCTCATTGACCAGACACCTGACTGACAGCTGTCAAGTGTCTCTGGGCCAGGAGTAACCCAGTAAAGATAAAAATTACATATTACTCATCCCTGTTGATAACACCAGGTGCCAGTAGGTTTTCAAATAGGAATAACTAGACCATAGACAAAAAAAAAAAAAAAAAGTAAAAGGGAGCCACTCCTACTGCCCGCTGGTCTTCCTCTGCCATTAACCCATTCCTTTCTCTTCCTCACTGTCACATTTCTGTCTGTGTCTACTTGTCTCACTGCTATGAAGAACTAGTTTCCTCAAAGTAATCTCCAGAGCTGTATGACATGCTGGTCATGAGAGCTATAAGCACCCACATTTACCTTTTAATCACACTTTCTTTGGAGTTTTTAAGTCATGGAAAGAAGGCTTTAAAGCTTTTAGCTTCTCTTTTGAAAGATAATGAAACTGAAGAACAAAAATGAAATTAACCCAAGGTCACTGATATGGGTATGGGTATGTAGATTTGGATCTGTGACCTAACTTCATATTTACTGATTTTTTTTTCATATTTGAAACCTATGGAAACCAAACTATGCATTAAAAGACATCACATGGACAATTAGGTGCTGTATTCCTTTCAGGAACCCTTTCTAATCACCAATCAATGTTATTAGAGAAATAATGGGTTTTTAGCAAGCCACATGAAACAGATTTCTAAGAAAAAGAACATAAACACACTAAAACTAGCTTTACGTTGTCTTTATCATTTAAGTGGATGTGTAAACAAATATTTATAAATGAACACAGAGCATAAAAATCATCAATAATGACACATATGTTTATAAAATGAATACGGTAGGCCGGGGATATAGTCCAGGACACAGCGCCTGCCTGGCAAATGCCTGGTCCTGAGCTTGATTTCCCAGTGCCAATAAATAAATAAAATAAAATACCAGATTCACAAGTTCAGGGTAAAAAAAAAATTTTTTTTTTGTCTTTTTCCTCTTTATCGGACTGGGGATCAAACTCACGACTGTATGCTTGCAAGGCAGGCGCTTATGCCACTGAGCTAAATCCCCAGCCCCCAGGGTAAAATTTTTTAAAAGATCAGGGAGCAATTACAAATATTAAATATACCAAAACAGAAATATATGTATAATACTCAAGTGCAGAATATATTAAACAGTTTCTATGACTAACTCAACACAAACTAGCTTGGTGTCTTCCTGCCTTATGCATCTGTGTGTGTGTGTCTGCATGTGTATGGAAATTAACAAATCCTGCTAGACTTCAGAGGCCTCTTCAGCAATACATCTCATCAAGCTCAGAAATCCTGTTATTCATATATATGATATTAATTTGAATAACCATTAATTATATTAAAAAATGTTTTCTACATATACAATTGGTTGCTAATGCTGCACACTAAACTAATTCACTTAAGGTCATGAAAAATCCATATATAAGCATAGATCTCATTGTCTTCCAGAGCTCCAGAAAAGAAATGATTTAGGTAAAAGTCTATCACATTCTGAATTTAAAAGGTTTTCTCTTATATCTGGGCTTTGGAACAGTATTTGCCTAAAGAAGTGGAGCTTTTTCACCTAGAAATGCAAATTAATAAGAAACAAAGAAGGTGAAAAACTTAAAATATTGATATAAAATGTGGGAAGGAATTGAGTCTAGAATTTCTGTGTAAAGGATGAGTAGCAAATCATCAAGAGTTCCAAGCCTAACAACACCATTTAACAACTAAATTATATATCTAAATTTACAAATGTATTTGCTTATTCCATTACATCAAGTCCAAATCAATGTTAGGCATTAATCAGCAAACTATTTAACAATATGCAATAACAATATGCAAATCAATTGCAAGCAAAATAATCAGTAAATAACATCCACTTCCAACTGTTGTGAAAGACAGGGATGTCAAAGCAAAATATGCAAAATCATAAGACTTTCAAGTTTGTTTGATCAGTGCCCTGCTTCTCCGGGAGGTTTCAGTGAAAGCAAGTGGCTTGCCCTGTCTGCTTTTGACGGATTAGTCATGTTTTCTCTTTCACACTGAAGAATGCTGCCTAAAGCATCAGAGCAGAAGTAGGCAGATCTGAATCCTACTCTGTTTCACTGCTAAGTAATTTGGGGACTGAAAACAAGTCACTTAAACCCTGTGAGGCAACCCAGTGGATGGGACTTTTTGCTTAGTAAACTATGAACTCTCAAAATGGAAATGTTAATTACCCAGTGGAAAGTATTTCCTCTGCTTCATGTGATGAGGTACCAGAAGAGATCTGGACCACTACTGGTGGGTTTCTGTTGACTTTGACATGTCTTTCTCTTCATTTTGCTCAAAGTAGCTTGCGATGTAGACTTTCCAGATAGATGAGCCAACAGCAGCTCCTACCCTGCAAAGTCTGTGAGCAAAACAAGGTCCCTAGCAGAGCATTACTAGGGGAATATTTCCTTGCATGAGGGTATCTTACAACATAACATGAAAGTCTCACTCTCAAAATCATACTGTCACACATAGCTCCAAACCTTTCAGTATGCACTGTAAGGCTGAGTTAAC